TCCACATCCAGAGATGCAGCTGTCAAGACGAGTTATGTCTTAAAAGTTAACCGTTTTCGGACGAAGAGTTCATTAAGGAGTGTTTGTTGGACACTAATATGCCCGGAGAAAAAGGAGGCATTTGAGAAAGTGCCGCTCTCCCGACGCACTGTTACGAGGAGAATTGAGGACATCGCGGGAAATCTGGAGCTTCAGCTGCAGAACAGAGCGGTCAACTTTGACTTTTTTTCCTTGGCTTTGGATGAGAGCTGCGATGTACGTGACACTGCCCAGCTACTCATCTTCCTACGTGGGATAACTACAGACTTCAAAATCACGGAGGAGCTGGCAGCCATGCAGTCAATGAAAGGTACAACAACAGGGAGTGATTTGTTCACGGAGGTAAATGCATGTGTGGAAAAGTTGGGACTGAAATGGGACAAGCTGGCAGGCGTGACAACGGATGGTTGTCCAAATCTGACAGGGAAAAATGTTGGACTATTGAAGAGAATGCAGGATAAAGTGACAGAAATTAACCCTGAGCAGAAATAGGTATTTTTGCATTGTATTATACATCAGGAAGTGTTGTGTAAGTCAGTGTTAAAAATTAACCATGTTGTTGATGTTGTAACTAAAATAGTTAACTTCATCAGGGCAAGAGCATTGAATCACAGACAGTTTGTTGCACTTTTGGAGGAAAGTGAGACTGAACATCGTGACATACCCTACCATGCAGCTGTCAGGTGGCTCAGCCTGGGCAAAGTGCTGAAAAGAGTATGGGACCTGAGAGAAGAGATTCAAGACTTCTGTGTGAAGAAAGGAAACGACATCCCACAGCTTTCAGATGCAGACTGGATGGCAGACCTTGGTTTTGCTGTAGATGTGACTGCACTAATGAGTGAACTAAATGTCAAACTGCAAGGCAAGGGCCTTTTTGTGCATGACATGTACAGTGCAGTGAAGGCTTTCATGAGAAAGCTGCAGCTTCTCTCAAGCCAAATGGAGGACAACATTCTCACGCACTTGCCAACACTGAAGGAAGCCACACCATCAGCTGATCACCTCCAGAGGTACTCATCCATGTTAGAAGCACTGCATGGTGAGTTTTCAAGGCGATTTAAAGACTTCAAAACAGTTGAGAATGAAATGAACATGATCTTTTCCCCATTTACATGCCATGTGGATGATGCACCCAGTGATGTTCAGCTTGAACTCATTGACCTGCAGTCTGACACACTTCTGTCAGAGCACTTTAGGTCAGTCTCACTGCCTGAGTTTTACTCTTCCCTGAAAGAGGAGAACTTTCCACACATCAGGAGACGTGCTCAGAAGATGATGGTCCTCTTTGGATCTACCTACATATGTGAACAGACATTCTCAGTGATGAAGTTCAACAAATCCAGATACAGATCCTCTATCACTGATGATCACCTCTCAGCTGTCCTTCGCATATCCACCTCAGACATTGAACCAGATTTCCGTGCACTTGTTCAAGCCCAAGATAGACTGGATTTTTCTCACTGAACAAGTCAAATTAACTGAAAAACAAAACTCAAAAGCACTCATTTCTTTTTGTATAAAGCTGATTCATTTCTTATCTTTAACATACTGTAAAACATCTTTTCAGTATTGGTATATTGAGCAGAATTAAGTTCAACTTATTTTTGATTCGGCCCCCCAACACAGCTCGAGTTTCTGAAGTGGCCCCTTGTAAAAAATAATTGCCCACCCCTGGTCTATGGTCTAATTTATACATTTTTATAAACATTTAAAATTATTAATCCATTAATTTTATTGTATTTCCTTGAGGCATTGGCACGCGGCACCGTAACCAGTGGCACACTAGGAATAAGTGGAATAAGTGTACAAAATATTTAAATTGTATTTTCGGATCCTGAACGAGACCGCCGCCAGAGCGCGTCTCCCCGTTACCTGCAGAAGGAAGCCATGCACGCGACACAGCCCCGCTCTGTTTAACTCCAGGTGACTTTCTGCCGCTTTCCTCCGTGGTGCAGGGCTGATCGTTTCACCACGGAGGAAAGCACAAATTGCAGTACCCATAAGGAGCTGTACAAATACCACAGTTTTTGCGTGGCTGTGTCTTTAGTTGAAAGCCCAGTGGCGATCTGCTCATCTCTCATTGAAATAATATGCTACAAAGGGGGCGGACTGGCCATCTGTGTGTTGAACTTTCCTGTCGGCTCCCAGACCGTAGTCGAGGAGGGCAGAAGCAACAAGCTTCAGGTTCAATAACCCACTTTAGCTAAAATGACTGGAGAGAGGCGAGCTCTTCTTGGGAGGCCGTTGCATTTATTTAGCTGTTCTTCTGTTTCACAAAATACATCACAGACCTCTGTTTTTCTGCTGCCTCGTTTCACTTCCAGAAACATACACACGCTCCCTCACTGTCGCTCTACCATCCACACACACACATGCACACGCCACACCCCTCTCTCTCTCTCTTAAAGGGACAGCGATCTCATCTCACTCTGCATGACCCTAATATCATAACATGTGTGTTCTGGAGAATCACAGAACGGACGATCGTCCTTATTATTATGCCGTTTAAACCAATTATTTAAATGTGTTTGTTAAATTCGGAATTATGTAAGTTGTGCTGACAGGTCCACACACTGCTTCCCCGCAGCGAGGCCCCCCCGCCCTCCTGTTGATAGTTCACCAGCGTCAAGCTCCTCAAACCCCCCGTTGATCATTCTCGATCGTTGGCACGCTGATAACAATTAATTTTTTTAATGGCACTTCATATCAAAAAGGTTGCCGACCCCTGCTTTAGACAATAAGAAATATAAAGTTGGCTGTTGAGTTGCTCAGCTTTTTTAGATTGTCAATACTATTACTGTATAACTAATATCTCAGGTTAAGAGGCACATTCAAATAAAGATTGGTCTTTAAATACATTTTGTCTTTAGAATTGTTTGTCTAAAGTCAAGGATCTACAACTGGTACTTATAGTTTTAATGATACAGTCTGGTTATAATGCTGTTTGGAGGAGGCCTCACAGGTAAGAGCACTTACTAGCTACCATCACATGTACCTTAGCTTGACTTAAATGTAGTAAACGTATAATTAAGTGATAGCAAAATATAAATAACTAATGTCATGCAAACATATTATTATTTGCTTGATTCCAGTGTTGCATTTAGCACATTGCATACAAACGTTAAGGGATTTTAAGATTCTGAAGTATTATGCTAAAAACTCAATAACTTAGATTATTATTTATAGTTTTGTTGAATAGTTTCATGTCCGCTTACCTTAGAAACGTAAAATGTGACGGCAGTGTGCAGATGGGGAGCATGTTAGCTTAGCTTCTTAGCTTGAGCTAGCTCTGTTACTTCCAGCTCGGAGGGCAGCAGGTCCCGCCTCGGCTCCGCCTCTTTGCCCTTATTTGGAGCATGCGGGAGTTAGACTCTGACGTCACTGTCGAGCCGTTAGTGGCCGACTCCGCCTACTAAGGGCTTCTCGGCAACTCTGCAGAATCCTATGGGTGACGTCACGGACCCTACGTCCATTTATATAAACAGTCTATGGTCCTACCCCCCCCTTAGGCCACAGGCTCCTCCAACAGTGCAACACAATAAAACAGATACACAGACAAAATAGTGCAAGTAAATACAATAAGAAAAATAGTAAAATAGTAAAAAGTGAAATAGTGCAATACGAGTCTATATACAAGTGATTGGAATATGATATATTAGATAAATTATTTCTAAGTAGCAGCCAGATGAATGTTATGGATGTTGTTTCTAAGTTCAGGTGTTTAATAGTCTTATGGCCTGTGGGATGAAACTGTCCCTGAGTCTGGTGGTTTTAGTCCGGATGCTGCGGTACCGCCTGCCAGACGGCAGCAGACAGAACAGTTTGTGGCTGGGGTGATGGGGGTCTTTTATAATCCTGAGGGCTTTCTTTAAGGTTAACCTGGTATTTTTACTCCACTACATTTATTGTAGTTACTTTACAGATTTGGATTAATGATGTGAAATATAAACAACCCTTAAATCAAACTTTAGTTACACCTGAGTAAAATTCAGTGAATTCAGCCAACAATCAGGCGAGATATTTGGTAGTGGGTGCTTGAGAAGACTAAATATTTATCTGCAGATCCCTATAAAGCATATTCATTACTCGTTATTCTCTACTAATAGTTAATTAAAAACTGTATATAATGGCTATTTTGCACATCCCTTTCAAGATCTCAAGATTTTCTAAGGTTTATTGACATATCATATACACAACTACGGTGTAGTTATGCAATGAATGAAACACTTGGGTCACAGGTTCCTCAACAGTGCATTACAAGACATCTATCGATATCTGTGTACCTCCACCATTAAACATATTCTGCACATTTCTTATACTATCTACATACATCTTATAAGAGTATAATTAATATGTATAATATCAGTTAAAATAAGTGCTTCAACATAGTTAACATTGCAGGAAAGTTGATTGTCAAGTTCCAAAACAAACCATGCAATATATTAGACGTTAAGTACTTTGTCAGGCTTAATATCTGTAGATACCCCCAAAGCTTTTTTCTTATTTAAAAGAAGACCTTAACCTAAAGTATTCTTTAATGTTTAAATAAAGCCTTATTAGTTTGTCTGTTTTGCACATCCTCCTATCAGGCACTAAACTGTTTTATTGTAGAGATCACTTACAGTATCTTCTTGATATTTTCTATTCTATATTATTTATATCATTGACCTTCCACTTTCCCACTATATTAAGAGTATGTACTCTTAATATTTAAATGTTTTCATCAAATATAACACATTCAAAAGTGCTTTACAAAAATGAAAGACATTAAGAAAAAGGCATTTTAAAACAGTCATTAAAAAGCAACACAATCTACCTGCATTGCAATTACTCTAAACGTGTAATAACGTGCTTCAACCAGTAGGAGGTGCGGGTTACAAAGCTGTCAAGTTTACAGTGTTAACAAAATAAAATATACTGCTGTTTCTGGTTTAGTTTACGACCAGTGGCGGTGCCAGGGTATGGCTGGGGTAGGCTACAGCCATACCAAGAAATGGCTTAGCCCCACCTTAGCCCCACCATGAAAAATGATGTTAAAGTTAGCAAAATAAAGTCCGCCAACTCGCGCGGAGTAAATTGCACAGACAGCAGTTAGTAAGATTGATTTCAGTAGCCACTTGTCTGGAAATACCGAAGACTAGAAACGGTTTTGAAAACTTTTGTCACGTAGTGATCGTCTTCTCAATAACATCTTTGATAATGTCTTCTGGCCAATCAGAATCACGATAACGGCGTGGTGTTGTTGCAGGAAATCCCGACGGAGAATACTTTTGCTGTAGTACATCCAGTGGCGGCTGGCGGAAAATATTTTAGGTGGGGCTGTGGAAATGGTGATCAAACAATACTAGGGGGCATTTTTTTGAGAAAAGACCCCCTAAATGATGACTTCTGGTGATGTTAGAGGGGGGAGGGGGGGGAGGACAATTTGAGGCTTAAAAATATGAGAAGACTGATCAATACCTCCATAACTTCAGTGTGGTTAGCTATGAATCTTCCAAAACTTCCAAACACCTTGTCCTGGACATAGTTTCTACAGCATAAACTGTGCTAACAAGCTGAGATTCCAGATTCTAGAAATATAAGTATCATCACTGAGCGATCAGAACTCGCGACAGGGGAAGCAAATACAGACATCACACAACGTAGCTTTAGGTAGCAAAACACGGAGATATGCTCACCTTTTGCAGAATAACAATTCTGATCAAAAACGAGAAAAACGCAGCTGAAGGTTAATCCAATGTGTCTGTCACAAATGATTGATGATCCATAATTCCATTTTTATGTCAAAAACTGAGTTTTCATTAGCTGCTAATGGTAGCTTCCAGAGTGTATGACAGCTTCATGTTTTGTCTCCTTGGATACGAGTCCAAACAACTCACAGACTGCACCGGGCGCTCACGTAGGAGCCCTGTGACCATCAGATTTGACGACGCTGATTGGCTGAAATTATGTTTCGGCGGCATAGTTTAAAGATAGCAACAGTTGGCTTCTGCTGCACTTGCTGCACTCTCGTCTGGGCGCTGTGCATAGCGCCCAGACGAGAGGGAGTAATGATACACGGGCAAGGCCAGGCAGGAAACATGTGACTTATCAGTAACTTTAGACATCGTAACACAATTTTAAACGAGATTTTATGGTAGATTATACATTTGACTGATACCAATTATATTATATTTACCTTGTTTATTAAAAATAAAAATAAAAATAAAAAATATATTTTTTAAATATATATTTTTTTATTTTTTTATTATTTTTATTTTTAATGTGGGAAGAGGGGGGGCGGCGCCCCTAGCGCCCCTATGGGCCGGCTGCCACTGAGTACATCTCTATATACATCGATACAACATTACGTGTTGATAGAAATCAACACGTAATGAAATAAGACCCCACGGTTTGATGATTGATAGGTGTGTGGGCTGTCTTTCATTTTGACACACAGAACAATGGGGGCTATGCACCCTTATCCACAATGTAAAGTAATTCACACAGCCTCTTCCCTCTTCTCTCTGTGAGGAGCAGCAGGTTCAGCTTTCAGAACAAAGTAACAAAACACTAAAATGGCATTCATTTTTTTAAATGTGTAGTAATAGATTTATTTATTTTTCTTCTCAAGAGAGTACCAGAATGTGTATTTTATGTTTTAGTATTTCAAAAAATCTCCTGGGGGAGAATCCCCCCAGACCCCCCCCCCTGCAGGGGTTGGGTTTTCAGCATGTCAACTCTTTCACCTGTGGGGAAATTGCAGGATTGGCTCCAGGTCGCCCTTTTTATTTACTACAAGACAAATGTGCCTTTTTATTTCATACAGTTCAATTTGGATTGAGACAGGGAAATAATCTAAACCTCACGCGTGGCGTTTCACTGTCAAGGGGGGCGATATAGTGTGTATGTAATTACATTGCAAATACTGACTTGAGCCCCACCACTGTATGGGTTAGCCCTACCATAGATTACCCAACAAAAATACTCTGGAGCCGCCACTGTTTACGACGGATATATTCTGTTATTGTTTTGATATTTGTAACACAAAAGCGATGTAAAAAACCCACAGCAACACAGAAAAGATGGTCTTAACATGACCCAGCGGTCTAGTAGTTAATAAAAAACAATAATATCAAAACAAATTATTACAACGAACTTTATTGTGAAATTAAAATAGAACGGTAAAAGAATAGTTTCCGGTCTATTCTGAGGCCCGATCTCTGTAGATAAATAAAGAACTACGACAGATGTGTAATGTTTAATGCAGCCAAACCATTCATTACAATGCATTCATGTGATGACTTTCAAAGAGTAAAGCAAGCACTGCTGAATAAAGTATGATTTGATCTTTTACGAAACGTTTTTTTCATAATCAATGCAGTTGGAGGTCAACCAATCACAGAGCTTGAGGCAAAGCGGAACAATAGCTGAGGATTCTGGGTAGTGTAGTGTCTTCGGCCATCCTAAACTCTGAACAAATATTTGTTTCTCCGAATCGAAGGGGAAAATTACAAAAGCATTATACACAATTTAAACCAATCAATGTTGTGTAATTAACAACGATAATCTGGTGTTTTTGAGTTGATGAGTAGTGCAGATATCACTGTAAAATCAATCGACAGTAAGGAGAATACTTACTTCCGGGTGTAAAATCCTCCGTTATCCAATGGGAATGGACGCTCACATTACTCTCTGCGTCCGTAATACAATAAAGGGGAAATGATCAAATAGGAATATAATTATCTTTTAAATAACGTTAACTAAAGGGAACAATCTATTTGACACAGCTGAAGCTCTGGCCTTCCTTAAAAACGAACTCATTTAATAAAAATCACAGTTGTATTACACACAATGCACTGTTTTTTGAGAACAAACATTGGTAAATAATGCACCATAATACATTCTGACGAAAAATAAAAATTATTATGAATACAAATAAAATAAAAGAAGCCTCTCGTGAGTTACTACAAGCTATAAAGTAGATTTTAAAAACGTTTTATAGAATAAAAGCTCACTGCTGGACGTTGTAGAAATGCGTGTGTGCACCACGATAAAGGAGCCTCATTCACTTTACATTGGGGTTGCGTGGTGCAGACACGTAAATGTAGCAAAGTTCGTGACTCCATCACGCAATGCGGTGTTAAGGAGTCGTGGTGGAGTCACGCATTCTGGTGAGACCAGGTTGCAAAAAGCACATAATGACCACCATGTAAAATGTAAAAAAAGCAAAATATTTAATACCACCACACCCCTCCAGTTGTTCAAGGCACATTCCACACTATGGCTTTTTCATTTGCCTTTTCCTTAAAGGTCCCCTATTATACTGATTTTCATCAATATATTATAGTTCTCAGTCATATACAAAACATGTCTCTGAAGTGTTTGGCTCCAAACACCAAACAGATCATGCATTGTAGCATCCCATAAACCCCTCTGTTTCAGCCCTGTTTCAAAAGTGCTGATTCTCTGTCTGTTACTTTAGATGAAAATAAGGAGCCACTCCCCACGCCCCTCTGAGAGATATTTGGTTAAAAAGAACACAATGGTGCTCTAGAGGAGATTCAGGTGATAAGGGGGGGGGTTACCTTGGTTGGTTATAGGCTAATGGTTACACAAGCCAATAACTTGTGTAATTGGCTTGTAAAGTGGCCGAAATCTGATCAGCTCATTTTCAGACAGGTTTTTATATAAATGGATCAGGACAAAAAGTGAGCAAATCTTTTTTCCTGAAACTCTCAGAATCTCTTTACACAGAGGGGACACATGTGTATGTATAAGATGCATGAAAAAGTGGATTTTGCATAATAGGTGACCTTTCAGAAATCTTTATTCTTGCTTGTGTATTATTCAACAGAGATAATATGTACAGCACCCGAGATTGAAAATGGTGATGTGCTTGGACAAATCCAAGAGTACATAGAAAATCAAGTCCTGGAGTTTCAGTGTAAACCCTCATTTAGACGCGCTGAAGCCAGATCTTCAAAATGCACAGAGCAAGGAGTAAGAGCAGAATGGAGCCCCACACCTCTGTGTGAACGTAAGTATTAACTGAGTAATGCAGTGTACTGGTGACACTTCCCAATAAATATAGGTTCTGACGGATAATGTGTTTATTTTTCAACAAATACAGCAATAACATGTAAACTACAACTGCCAGGGCTGAAAGGAACCAGCTATGAACCTGCTTCTAGAAACACGTTTCTACCTGGTGACCAAGTGACAGTAAATTGTGAAGACAAGTACTGGATTTTTGGGTATCAACCGACCTCAGTCGTAACTACATGCAAAGAGGACGGAGAGTGGACTATCAGACCTCTATGCCAAGGTATGAAACTGCTGTGAATGCTGTTTTATTTTTTTATATTTTATAAGCTGTGATGATGGTTATCAATCATGTCTCGATTACTTGAGATTTACAAAACATTTTCTTATTCTAGAGGTTACGTGCAGCAAACAAGGAGTCCCACATGTGTCTTCATGGGACAGTCGTTGGCAGCAAACATTCAAATCGGGTGAGACGACACGTTACGGGTGTGAGACAGGCTACAGGAGGAAAGATGGCGCCAGCAGGGCCACATGCACCCGAGATGGATGGCAACCAAATCCACTTTGTGAAGGTATTGTGAAGTAAACCTTATGTTTATAAGATATCTGTTATTTTGTTTCCATATTTGGCTATTGGGGGGGAGTTTTTACTATATACTATATTGTTTACTGTAAAGGCTACTTTTAAAAAAAAGAGTCCCATGAACTAAATGCAGCTAAGCACAGGAACAGTCAGGAATTTACTTCTTTTGTTTTCAATTGCTTACACATGCTTTTTTCTTTTGATCGCACAAGTCTTTAGGGTGGTATAAACATCATGACTAACAAAAACTAAACAAATATATTTTTGTTTTATTGTGTGTCCTTTGTAGAGGACACCGGGTGTTAGTTATGCGAAGCATATAGGAACAACATTAACATACAAGTACATTTAGACAACATTAGAGCACAACAACTCAATGCAACAAATATTGAGCCCTCATTTGTAGAACTCCATCCTTTTTTGAAATGCAGAGATACATCTGACACTTGAGGCACTTGATGTATGTTTTCCCACTGCATCCGTCTGCCATGAACCCTACAGAAACCTAAGTGTTAGTTTTGGCCCATAGTGGACTCCATTTGTGTTGTGTAAAATGGGGGAAATAAAAAGTTAGCAAATCCCCATGTCCTCCTCAGAGGACATTCCTAAAAACAGTTAGTTTTAGGTCAAATAAGTATGACACTGCTCTGAAAACTCACTACACTAACTCCTAAGATGTTCCCTTACTATAATTATTTAAAAATATTGAACTCACAACACTGGTAATTACAAAATTACAAACTTACCATTTCTCTTTCTATAAATAGTGCTTGTGTTGATGGACGCCATTTTGAAATACAATGAAATTATCTTTTTCAAAGCCATACCCCCACATTATGTCATATGTTTGAAAAGCCCAGGATGTCCTCTGTGGAGTACAATTGGACTTAATGCTGTGGCATGTATAAGCTCAAAGTAATGGACCAAAACCCAATGTGCTCCACAGAGGAGGGAGGGTGGGTCTCTGGAGGATAAACACTTGAAGTGTGCACCAAATGGCACACACTTCATTTAAAATACGAGACACTTTTTCCAACCAACTTCAAACTCTGGTGCTCAATCAAAAGCATACTAATTTCTTATGGACTTTGTTCTGTATGTAGATAGTTCTGCAGGACAGAGATATGTGCAGAAACACAAATATGTTGTTGAAAGTAAACATTTGTATTTGAAAATAGAGGGAAAGAGGTAGACAGACACACATACACTATTAATCACCCTGTCAAGAACACCAACATAACAAAAAGCACATAATGACCACCATGTAAAATGTAAAAAAAGCAAAATATTTAATACCACCACGCCCCTCCAGTTGTTCAAGGCGCATTCCACACTATGGCTTTTTCATTTGCCTTTTCCTTAAAGGTCCCCTATTATACTGTTTTTCATCAATATATTATAGTTCTCAGTCATATACAAAACATGTCTCTGAAGTGTTTGGCTCCAAACACCAAACAGATCATGCATTGTAGCAGGCTAATGGTTACACAAGCCAATAACTTGTGTAATTGGGTTGTAAAGTGGCCGAAATCTGATCAGCTCATTTTCAGACAGGTTTTTATATAAATGGATCAGGACAAAAAGTGAGCAAATCTTTTTTCCTGAAACTCTCAGAATCTCTTTACACAGAGGGGACACATGTGTATGTATAAGATGCATGAAAAAGTGGATTTTGCATAATAGGTGACCTTTCAGAAATCTTTATTCTTGCTTGTGTATTATTCAACAGAGATAATATGTACAGCACCCGAGATTGAAAATGGTGATGTGCTTGGACAAATCCAAGAGTACAAAGAAAATCAAGTCCTGGAGTTTCAGTGTAAACCCTCATTTAGACGCGCTGAAGCCAGATCTTCAAAATGCACAGAGCAAGGAGTAAGAGCAGAATGGAGCCCCACACCTCTGTGTGAACGTAAGTAAAAACTGAGTAATGCAGTGTACTGGTGACACTTCCCAATAAATATAGGTTCTGACGGATAATATGTTTATTTTTCAACAAATACAGCAATAACATGTAAACTACAACTGCCAGGGCTGAAAGGAACCAGCTATGAACCTGCTTATAGAAACACGTTTCTACCTGGTGACGAAGTGACAGTAAATTGTGGAGACAAGTACTGGATTTCTAGGCATCAACAGGCCTCAGTAGTAACTACATGCAAAGAGGACGGAGAGTGGACTATAAGACCTCTATGCCAAGGTATGATACTGCTGTGAATGCTGTTTTATTTATTTTTTAAAAAGAGTCCCATGAACTAAGTGCAGCTAAGCACAGGAACAGTCAGGAATTTACTTCTTTTGTTTTCAATTCAAGTTCATACAACTTTATTAATGGCATATGATTTAAACTGAAAAATAATTCCTTAAGAAATGCTACAATTAGTTTCCAATGTATTATTATCATTAAGATGTGAAGCAGAAGATGCACTGATTTATGTTTATAGATCGCAAATAAAAAAGCGTCTCAAACTTTGTTATGGTTAGGATTAGGTTCTAGTTTCTCTTGGTTATGGTTAGAGAAAGGTTAGAAGATACTGAACACATGTATTCCCTCCCACAGCTCCCGCTCAACAACAGTGATGCTGGTTTTGTTGGTGGTCCAAAGAAATGCCAATCAAATGGACCCCCCCTAAAAATAATCTATGGTCTTTTTGGCATCTGTTCATCAGTAAGGAAGTGATTTTTAAGTGTGCATTACTCATACTCATATATCATCTTAATACATCATGCATGTATTATTATATACACTTGTTGGAAATGGAATGACTGAATCAATCATTTATGTATTAAACAACTTTTATACATTTGCCATATTGATTAAAAAGAAAATGAATTACAATTGCCTTATTTGGTCTCTTTATTGTGTTATAATGAAAAACAAGTCCATAGTGACTGAATATGCTTTTTACTTATTGTAAGTGGGATTTAGAGCAATGACGAGCTAAAGCTGAAAAAGACTGTAAGATAAGATAAGATAGATACAGTGGAAATAATGCATGTGTGTAGGGGTTGTAATCATTGTTTTAAAATTATATTTCTATAAATGAGACTATTACTATTCTGTTGTTTAACAAAATCCATATCAGAAATCCTCATCTTCGTAGATTTGAGTCGTAGATTTGACTCGTAGATAAACGGAGAACAATGTGTGTCATACGTTATATTAGATTTGAACTTGTCAGAGATAAGCACAGTCCAAAGTACTGTATGTGTAGGTAAATAAAGCCTATCTTAAATATTGCCTTTTAAAAGAGATACTTTGAATGGGGGGAAAAGACTGACTAGATGTGACATTCTTTTAAAAGATATGTCACAAATGATTGCATTTTGGGCTGAGGGCAGTCCATGCATCCATGACAGGATACTGCATTATCCTCTTATTCATTGTATTTCAATTCTTACTCTGTGCTCTCAAGCCTTGTTTATGTTTGTGCAACTTAACAGTACATGTAAGAGATCATGTAATAATTGCAACCTGCTTATGCCAATACTCTCTTTGTCATTACCCAAATGCTTCTAGCTTCTTTGGGTTGTGGGACACTACCACCCCTTGCAGATGGAGACATTGAGGTTCTATACCAGTACAGGAACGGAGACAGGGTTAAATACATCTGTCAGAATCACTACATCATGGAGGGAGAGCCCTACAAAACCTGCATCAATGGTGAATGGATTGGACAGATGAGATGCCTCAGTAAGTTAACATTCCCTTTACATTTTTCACCTTCTTTTAGCATTTTTGCATAATTAGATGTTGCTTGATTTTGTTGCTTCATGAATAGTATAATAATTGTACAGAAACATATATTACAGTAATTAAACATCGAAAGGTGGAAAAGCATCTGTTTTACCTCAAATAAGAATAAATGTGCTGTCATAAAGTAACGTTTTTGTAACATCCCGTCATGTCTGCTAATGTATTCATGTCATATTAAGGTAGTTCATCAGGTTCATGTTATTTGTTTCATGTTTTGTCAAGTCTCTTTGTTCACCTGTCTAGTCCTGTCATTGCACTTCCTGTTTAATTTTGGTACTTACCTTTCCCTCTGGTTTCAGAGCTCTCCTGCCCTTGTGTGTCTTCCTCCCCATGTGATTGTCAGCCCCTCCCTTGATTGTTGCCACCTGTGTCCCATTACCTCTTGTATATAGTCCTCGTCTCCCTTTGTCCTGTGCCAGTTCACCTTGTGCCTTGTGCCAACAAGAGAGCCAGCTTTTCAGGCCAAGAGAAAAATGTAACATTTTTTTAAAAGATAAATGATTGCATTTTGGGCTCAGGGCAGTCCATGCATCCATGACAGGATACTGCAATATCCTCTAATTCATTTTATTTACATTCTTACTCTGTGCTCTCACTCCTTGTTTATTTGTGTGCAACTTAACAGTACATGTAAGAGATCATTTAATAATTGCAACCTGCTTATGCCAATACTCTCTTTGTCATTACCCAAATGCTTTTAGCTTCTTCGGGTTGTGGAAAACCAACACCCCTTGAAAATGGAGACATTGAGGGAACTGTTGGACACGAGTACAGGAACGGAGCCAAGGTTAAATACATCTGTCAGAATTACTACAAAATGCAGGGTGGTCCTCACAAAACCTGCACCAATGGTGAATGGATTGGACAGATGAGATGCCTCAGTAAGTTACAATTTCATTTGCATATTTTTATTCTGTGAGGTTTTTGGTATAAGGCAATATAACTTCCTGTCTGTTTACCAGTATGCTAGCTAGTAAGGCTTTGAATGGTGAGTATTGAAACAGAAAAATATACTGATTACATTTTGGACTATAGTTTTCAAGACCTAAATATATTTGTAGTACGTATGAATTAGGCATTATAGTCATTTGCCATTAACAATATGCCCGCCCCTCTGAATGACTTTTAAGTATTAACAATATGCTGTGTATCCATTTTCTCTTGCAGAACCCTGCACTGTGAATCGCCAAGACATGACTACACATAATATTGGCTTCAGACATAGTGCAGACAATAAATTGTATTTAGAACATGATGATATAGTCGGGTTCAGGTGTACCAGGGGAAGACATGACGGCGCATTGAACATGCGTCAGAAATGTAATGATGGTGTAATGCTCCTTCCTACTTGCCACTAAAGCTTTTTAGTCAACTGGATGTGATGACCATGAACTAGCTGGACAAACATGTACATGATTAACCAAAGTAAAGAGTTCGACCAGTTCTTTCCTAATCAAGTGTGTGTAACCCAGTGCTCTGTGTGGTCATTCTAATAAAACAAATATGTTGACTTGGTCAGATTTCTCCCTCTATTTTTCAGAGGAACTCTTTATCTTTCATGAAGAGGAAAAAGATGATATCCAAAATATTAATAAAGCACAATAAATAACCAAACTGGGCCAAGTTTCCTAATAATGATTTTCCTTAAACATAAAGATAATTTTCCATGAATGCTTCTTCAACAGTTTTTAAGCAGCAGTTCCCCAGAAAACAGAAATACATATTTCTCTTCGCTCCTGTAATGCACTTTATCAGTCTGTATTGTTTTGGTGTGCCGTAGAGATGTCTGCTTCTTCTTGAATATAATGGCACTCGATGCCACTCGGCTTGTGTTGCTCATAGCCTCAAATAGATACGTTTTAGATGTAGAATTTAAAAGCAGTGTTGATTTCCAGAAATCAAAATAATCCGCAGTCATGGTTGTGAGCAGTTTCATGTAGGAACTATTTTCTATCTACCGAGCTACATTTGCCCAACAAATAGACAAATACATATTTTATAGTTGGAATTTGTTCATTTTGAAAGTAAGAGTAATGTTCATTAAAAACTAGGCTTGCTGCCTGTAACACATCATGGTCCTGGTAAGGAGTTTCAAGAAGTACACTTTACCTGCTGGAGGTACACGTTACCATTATGATCATATTAAACCTTAACTGAAGCCATGTCTTCACCATACACGTAATCTACTGTTATATACTGTACATTTATACTTGTATATACTATACATGTGTACTGGTATACAGTGAGTATATACTGCAATATACTGTTAATATATACTGATCATAAACACTGTTATATAATGTTATAAGTTGACATAATTTCTGTAGTATAATAAGATATACAACATAAGCACCATAAAAAAGAGAAGATATGGAACCTGAAACTTCAAAAGAAGAAGGAGGAAGACCTGTCGGCACATTGAACATTGAACATGAGATGTGTTGATGGTGTGATGCTCCTGCCCACTTGCCAGTGAAGGGGTTATTTCACTCAAAGTGACTGGCCTGATTTGGCTGAATACCATTTGAATGCTAAATAAAAGCACAAAAATTGAGCATATATATAAAAAATACACGTTCAATCAGTCTGTTTCCTTCCTTACTGTATATGTATTATGAGAAAATATGTAAATACTCCTGATTACCATCTTTATTTTCCAACTCTAAGAATGTCATTGAGTAGATGATGACAATACTTTCTAGTATTATAAGTATTTCAAAGTATGTACCTTGCTTGCAAACAGTTTTTTTATTTCAAATGCCCCCTGTGCAGATGTGGGAGAAGTACTCAGATCTTGTACTTGAGTAAAAGTAGAAGTACCATCAAAAAAGTACTTATTATGCAAACTGGCCCTTTTCAGAATAATATATATTATATGATTTGACTATAATTATTGATGTATTAAAGTGTTTATCAAAGCTGGTAAAGGTGCAGCTAGTTTTAATTATTTCTGTATACTGCAGGGTAGCTTGTGAATGTACTCCAGGTGTAACTAAAGTCTGATTTAAGTGTGAATTATATTTCACATCATTAATCCATATCTGCAAAGTAACTGAAGGTATTAAATAAATGTAGTTGAGTCAAAGTATACAATATACCTCTGAATTGTAGAGCAGTGGATGTAAGAAGTAGCAAAACATTGAAATACTCAAGTAAAGCAGAAATACCTCAAAATTGTACTAAAGTACAGTACTTTAGTAAATCTACTTAGTAACTTTATACCACTGCCCCTCTCTGTCAAACGAATACCCTTTGGTACATTGAGATCGGTTCGATGTTTTGAAGGTGTGATGACCCTGCTCTCTGCCAGTAAACGATTGAGCTAACTGGAAGTGACATGAGCTTGCTGGACAAACATGTTAATGATAAACCAGAGGAAAGAGATTGACAACATTTGTAGAACAGTTCATGCTACTGTAATCTGCACAATTCAGTGCTTTATACTCCAAAAGTTGTAATTTTGAAATATATTATTCCACAGACAGGAAGCCAGTGTACATTTATGAGAACTGGAGGGATATGGGTCTTTGTTGGGACCCCTTAGAGAGACATCATTACTGTATAAGCCTATAGAAGGTAAAAGGGGAGGACAAGTTATTCTAAACCCTGGTCAGACTGTCGTCCTCAAATTCGTGGACTTCTTTAAATAACTGAAAGAGAACAAACAGTTTTATATTTTATTTGTTATACTTACTCATATAACCTGCACGTAAATCATTGTTTGCATGCTGAAATGTATGAAATACTTATTTTTCCAATACTGCAAAATACGGTGGAAAAAACTATTTCCATATCAGGGTTGTTTTATAATACAAATAACATATATATAGGGAGAGAGAGAGAGAGAGTGTGTGTTGTGTGTGTGGTGTGTGTGTGTGTGTGTGTGTGTGTGTGTGTGTGTGTGTGTGTGTGTGTGTGTGTGTGTGTGTGTGTGTGTGTGTGTGCGTGTGTGTGTGTGTGTGTGTGTGTTGTGTGTGTGTGTGTGTGTGTGTTGTGTGTGTGTGTGTGTGTGTGTGTGTGTGTGTGTGTGTGTGTGTGTGTGTGTGTGTGTGTGCGTGTGTGCGTGTGTGCGTGTGTGCGTGTGTGTGTTCGTGTGCCTGCGTGCGTGCGTGTTGTAAGGGGGAGGTACTCGTGTTCCTGAGACAGTTTCATTCAATTGTTTGTACTTTCCACTGTGTAGAAAGACTCGATTTAAGTAATTACAGAAGCACAGCTATTCCTGGATCCTCACAATGACATATTTTTACTTTCTTGGGTTCTTTATACTATGCCTTAAAATGGATACGTCTTTACAACAGGAAGGTAAGCAAGAGGGGGAATTATTTATGAATCCCTCTGTTTTCTCTATATATGAATAAAACCATATCCAGGACTTAATGTGAACCTATGTGTGAACTGAGTAACTTCAATTGACTTGTTATATCAGACAAACCACTGAAAACTGGTGCTGTGACGGACAGTGCAACAATAAAATGTAAACTATATCTGCCACCACTGGAAGGAACCAGCTATGAACCTGCAGTTAAAAAACAGCAACAGATGTTATGCCACCATGCCCTCCCACACCCCATTGTTACAGGCTGCATCCACACTACGGCTTTTTAATTAGCCTTTTCCTAAATACATTTGTATTCTTGCTTATGTGTATTATGCAACAAAGATAATATGTTCAGCACCCAAAAACTGAATCTTTGCTCATTAAAAGGGTGATCTTATTTTTCTTTATTGGAGACTAGTATTCATTTCTAAATGGTTTGTTTCACTTTATTTTAACTATTATTATTTACAGTTTAACTGAAAATTCAAGGGAAATTTTCATTCTGTTTATTTCTGTTTCATTCCCTAAATTATTTTTAAAAACACTACATTTAAAATGTGTTGGGGTAATGTTTGTTGGGAGCCCCACACCTCTGTGTGAACGTAAGTAAAAACTGAGTAATGCAGTGTACTGGTGACACTTACCAATAAATATAGGTTCTGACGGATAATGTGTTTATTTTTCAACAAATACAGCAATAACATGTAAACTACAACTGCCAGGGCTGAAAGGAACCAGCTATGAACCTGCTTATAGAAACACGTTTCTACCTGGTGACCAAGTGACAGTAACTTGTGAAGACAAGTACTGGATTTTTGGGCATCAACCGACTTCAGTCGTAACTACATGCAAAGAGGACGGAGAGTGGACTATCAGACCTCTATGCCAAGGTATATACTGCTGTGAATGCTGTTTTATTTTTTTATATTTCATAAGCTGTGATGATGGTTATCAATCATGTCTCGATTACTTGAGATTTACAAAACATTTTCTTATTCTAGAGGTTACGTGCAGCAAACAAGGAGTCCCACATGTGTCTTCATGGGACAGTCGTCGGCAGCAAACATTCAAATCGGGTGAGACGACACGTTACGGGTGTGAGACAGGCTACAGGAGGAAAGATGGCGCCAGCAGGGCCACATGCACCCGAGATGGATGGCAACCAAATCCACTTTGTGAAGGTATTGTGAAGTAAACCTTATGTTTATAAGATATCTGTTATTTTGTTTCCATACTTTGGCTATATGGGGGGATTTTTACTATATACTATATTGTTTACTGTAAAGGCTACTTTTAAAAAAAAAGAGTCCCATGAACTAAATGCAGCTAAGCACAGGAACAGTCAGGAATTTACTTATTTTGTTTTCAATTGCTTACACATGCTTTTTTCTTTTGATCGCACAAGTCTTTAGGGTGGTATAAACATCATGACTAACAAAAACTAAACAGAATATATTTTATTTGTTTTATTGTGTGTCCTTTGTAGAGGACATCGGGTGTTAGTTATGCGAAGCATAGTAACAACATTAACATACAAGTACATTTAGACAACATTAGAGCACAACAACTCAATGCAACAAATATTGAGCCCTCATTTGTAGAACTCCATCCTTTTTTGAAATGCAGAGATACATCTGACACTTGAGGCACTTGATGTATGTTTTCCCACTGCATCCGTCTGCCATGAACCCTACAGAAACCTAAGTGTTAGTTTTGGCCCATAGTGGACTCCATTTGTGTTGTGTAAAATGGGGGAAATAAGAAGTTAGCAAATCCCCATGTCCTCCTCAGAGGACATTCCTAAAAACAGTTAGTTTTAGCTCAAATAAGTATGACACTGCTCTGAAAACTCACTACACTAACTCCTAAGATGTTCCCTTACTATAATTAATAAAAAAATATTGAACTCACAACACTGGTAATTACAAAATTACAAACTTACCATTTCTCTTTCTATAAATAGTGCTTGTGTTGATGGACGCCATTTTGAAATACAATGAAATTATCTTTTTCAAAGCCACACCCCCACATTATGTCATATGTTTGAAAAGCCCAGGATGTCCTCTGTGGAGTACAATTGGACTTAATGCTGTGGCATGTATAAGCTCAAAGTAATGGACTAAAACCCAATGTGCTCCACAGAGGACAAAAATGAATGGGTGGGTCTCTGGAGGATAAACACTTGAAGTGTGCACCAAATGGCACACACTTCATTTAAAATACGAGACACTTTTTCCAACCAACTTCAAACTCTGGTGCTCAATCAAAAGCACACTAATTTCTTATGGACTTTGTTCTGTATGTAGATAGTTCTGCAGGACAGAGATATGTGCAGAAACACAAATATTTTGTTGAAAGTAAACATTTGTATTTGAAAATAGAGGGAAAGAGGTAGACAGACACACATACACTATTAATCACCCTGTCAAGAACACCAACATAACAAAAAGCACATAATGACCACCATGTAAAATGTAAAAAAAGCAAAATATTTAATACCACCACGCCCCTCCGTGTTCAAGGCGCATTCCACACTATGGCTTTTTCATTTGCCTTTTCCTTAAAGGTCCCCTATTATACTGTTTTTCATCAATATATTATAGTTCTCAGTCATATACAAAACATGTCTCTGAAGTGTTTGGCTCCAAACACCAAACAGATCATGCATTGTAGCATCCCATAAACCCCTCTGTTTCAGCCCTGTTTCAAAAGTGCTGATTCTCTGTCTGTTACTTTAGATGAAAATAAGGAGCCACTCCCCACGCCCCTCTGAGAGATATTTGGTTAAAAAGAACACAATGGTGCTCTAGAGGAGATTCAGGTGATAAGGGGGGGGGGGTGTTACCTTGGTTGGTTATAGGCTAATGGTTACACAAGCCAATAACTTGTGTAATTGGCTTGTAAAGTGGCCGAAATCTGATCAGCTCATTTTCAGACAGGTTTTTATATAAATGGATCAGGACAAAAAGTGAGCAAATCTTTTTTCCTGAAACTCTCAGAATCTCTTTACGCAGAGGGGACACATGTGTATGTATAAAGATGCATGAAAAAGTGGATTTTGCATAATAGGTGACCTTCAGAAATCTTTATTCTTGCTTGTGTATTATTCAACAGAGATAATATGTACAGCACCCGAGATTGAAAATGGTGATGTGCTTGGACAAATCCAAGAGTACATAGAAAATCAAGTCCTGGAGTTTCAGTGTAAACCCTCATTTAGACGCGCTGAAGCCAGATCTTCAAAATGCACAAAGCAAGGAGTAAGAGCAGAATGGAGCCCCACAACCTCTGTGTGAATGTAAGTAAAAACTGAGTAATGCAGTGTACTGGTGACACTTCCCAATAAATATAGGTTCTGACGGATAATGTGTTTATTTTTCAACAAATACAGCAATAACATGTAAACTACAACTGCCAGGGCTGAAAGGAACCAGCTATGAACCTGCTTATAGAAACACGTTTCTACCTGGTGACCAAGTGACAGTACTTGTGAAGACAAGTACTGGATTTCTAGGCATCAACCGACCTCAGTCGTAACTACATGCAAAGAGGGCGGAGAGTGGACTATCAGACCTCTATGCCAAGGTATGAAACTGCTGTGAATGCTGTTTTATTTTTTTATATTTCATAAGCTGTGATGATGGTTATCAATCATGTCTCGATTACTTGAGATTTACAAAACATTTTCTTATTCTAGAGGTTACGTGCAGCACACAAGGAGTCCCACATGTGTCTTCATGGGACAGTCGTCGGCAGCAAACATTCAAAAAAAAAATTCAATTGCTTACACATGCTTTTTTCTTTGATCACACAAGTCTTTAGGGTGGTATAAACATCATGACTAACATTGAGTGTCCTTTGTAGAGGACATCGGGTGTTAGTTATGCGAAGCATAGTAACAACATTAAGTACATTTAGACCACATTAGAGCACAACAACTCAATGCAACAAATATTGAGCCCTCATTTGTAGTACTCCATCCTTTTTTGAAATGCAGAGATACATCTGACACTTGAGGCACTTGATGTATGTTTTCCCACTGCACCCTACCTAAATCGGCGTTGTAAGGGAAAGTTACAGCCTAAATGATCGCATTCGATATGCATGCAAGAACAACGTTGAAATAATTGTTCCTATTACCTGTGAAGAAAATGGTTGGAATGGGATTCAGAGCTGTTCAGGTAAAGTCAAACAACAAATCATTCAACAAATACAGCTTAAAGGAAAATTATAGAGGGATTGGCTTCGGGTGTTTAATTAGCATGGTCTTAGGCGTGGTTCTCTTAACAGCTAAAAAATAACATCTTCAGTGACTTTAAATTGCATAACTACTTCGATGACCCTGTTTCATCAGTTTCAAAATGTGTACTGTTGAACAATAAAAACGTATTTTTGTAATGCTTAAAACACACATTAAGAACTTGATTTATTTGTAACAGGCTTGCTGTTCAGTAGATCATCAAGAAATTGATCACTTAAAGAGTAAAAGGGGAGGCACCTTACTTTCTGACCTTGTCTTTAAACTCTATTATATAGTTTCTATTTTTACTTCTATTCATATTGTGGTTTCATTCATGTCTATTTATTTGAGCTGTCCCTATCTTTCTTTGTGTTGCCTCAACAACTGACTTTGGGGATCAACAAAGGCATTTTCTTTTCTTTTTTCTTGAAGACATCATTTTTGAAATGGTTTGTTTGATTATGTTTTAATGTAACCTGAATAGCTGGAGGATGTGTGAATAACTTCAAATATTCATTGAATTTTGTTTCAGAAAGTCCACTGCAAGAAACCTCACATCGACGGTGCAAACTTTATCGGCGTTGTAAGGGAAAGTTACAGCCTAAATGATCGCATCCGATATGCATGCAAGAACAACGTTGAAATAATTGTTACTATTACCTGTGAAGAAAATGGTTGGAATGGGATTCAGAGCTGTTCAGGTAAAGTCAAACAACAAATCATACAACAAATACAGCTTAAAGGAAAATTATAGAGGGATTGGCTTCGGGTGTTTAATTAGCATGGTCTTAGCGTGTTCTCTTAACAGCTAAAAAATAACATCTTCAGTGACTTTAAATTGCATAACTACTTCGATGACCCTGTTTCATCAGTTTCAAAATGTGTACTGTTGAACAATTTCTACTTCATGCTTTTTCTCTCCCCCTCAACACACGCCTGTTTACTTGAAAATGATAAATGAAGCTCCTCTCTTGATTTACTGCACTCTAAAGCCTTGCTTTGGCTTTCATTTAAATAACAATGCTATCTTGTTATCATCCTGATAATTGCAATGCTAGCATGCTGTAAAGGTATCAGGTCAACTATCTTAATTTAGCCTGGTTAAATTCAGCATGTTAGCATGTCGACAGCATGTTCAAAAGTTGCAGTCTCACATGGATTTGTATTCTTTAAAACATTTAAATGTTTCTATTGAAAACTAGAATGTCTCAGGCATCATGGTCCAGCAAACATGAGCTTGTCTCCTATATGTTATATAAGAACTCAACAATAAATATGTTGTGAACGTAATATAAACAGAGTTATGCAAAGTACTGGTAATAGCACATTGTAAGACTTTGGAACGCATTCCCACAATGTCAGTGAGGGCTTTGGTCTGCCACTCTGTCAAAAGTGCTTAAGGACACTCAATGTGATCCCTTGATGCACACTATCAGTAAGTCAGCATTTTGCAGGGAGCTTTGTGAAGTTAAAAAATAGATACAACCAGCCTTTTGCTTACACCTTGCTGTAGCTCTATGGTGTTTGCCAGGGTTTCTGCTCTGGTCACATGACTGAACACTATGAATACTCTTTTAAACACATGCAGCCTCTCACACTCAAGGCTCACATATTGGTATTAGGCCAAAATAAAAAGGGATCATCCCCACTAAAACTACATATCATTATATATATTGTAATTCCTGTGCTTATCTTTTAGTCTACAGTACATACAAATATAGAGTATATTTATGTTTGAGAATGGTTGTCACTTCTACAATCCAGTACCTGAACTGTATGATATACTTTTTAGAAGTTCTAGGTTGTGGCACAGCACCAATCATTGCCGATGGAGACCTCAAGTACACCAGGAAAAGTAATAACAGCCATAATGATATGGTTGAATACATGTGCCAGGCATACTACACCATGGAGGGAGAGCCTTACAAAACCTGCGTCAATGGTGTATGGACTGGACACACGGATGCATCCGTAAGTTACAGGTTCTTCTTTTAATAACATGTGCAATATTGAAAAGTGAAAATCAACTTCATTTTAAAATGGTTAGAGTCGTTGCATGTTGTAATTTGATTGGGAAACCTAATTGATGAAATCCATTTATGCAACATGTCATTTGTGCCTGACCTACGTTCATGGCAATAACAGAGTACGAAATATGGAAAGCTGTTTTAGCATTTGAGCTGTGTGGCCCTTTTATTTAACCTCCTCTGCCAGAGTTTAAACTGTTCAACAAAAGAGGAATGGTTTGTAAACAGTTAGGTGCCAAGAGGCAATGTGTCCTCAAATAAACTGTCAGCTTATTGTCACATTAGCAACCAAGCTAAGCTCCCAAGCTAACAGAGGGCTATATTTATGTAAGTATTTATGTATATTTATATAATTCCAGGGGGAGAGTGAATGGCACAGCACAGAGTAAATAGAAATAAGGTCAGAGAGTTAGTTTGAATTACTTGTGCTGGGCCTGCTGGCTGGCATGTAAGCAATCAGCTCTCCAATTATTTTAGCTCACCAACTAGCCCTCTAAATCGCTCAACTATTGCCCAACATTGGCAAAAGTTGTGAATGCAGTATGCTTTAGTCATTCCTGCCCTTATCCAAATGCTATGTTGATTGTCTCTTGCAGAACCCTGTACCGTGAATGAAGACGACAATAAACAACATAATATTACCGTTAAATATAATGGCAGTACATATTTCACTCATGATGAAATAATTGAGTTTAGGTGTGCCAGAGGAATACCTGTTGGTTCAGTATCATTACTTCAGAGGTGTAATAGTGGTGTTATTGTCTTGCCTACTTGCCAAGAGTTTTAGTCAACAGTAGATCAAAGTAAAAAACTGATTATGCAGAGTTATGAACTGATTCCGTCTCCTCTTTGATGTTGTCAACTGTATAAATGTTAATAAAGCATACATGACACATCTCTGTCTCTTTTCTGCCTCCTAAATACAGTCTGTAGCATACCATGAGCAAAAAGAAACGATTAGAATTTAGCCAGCGTAGAAATAAAATCTGGTATGGATTGGAAGTCAATGGGTCTCATGAAATGAAAGCTATTGCAAAGAAATTTGACTTTTCAATAAAGAAACAGCTTATTTTTCAAAGATATTAGTATACAATTAAATTAAAACATTAAACATATATAAAAGATAAAAGAGATGTATCCAATGTTTAGTTTAGTCATATGATATTGAATTGATTTCAAGTCATTAGTTCCCATAATATAGGAGCTTATTTTCAATTTAAAAAACTGCAGATTTCAGATCCTATTTAGTAATTTAATGCTGCATTGTTTTACACGAAATAGTTCATATGACATGAAAGCTTATAAACATATTTAAGACTTTAACCACCATCCAATTAAAATTAGAATGCCATAATTGTCTAGTTATACAATTCTGCATTGACATGGAGATATTTAGGTCTAATGATAGGGAAGCTATTTAAAAGATGTAATAATCTTAATACAATGATGAACATCATTGTATATATAATTAATTATACCAATGCTTTAACATACCTCATTGTAGAGTGTGTAACAGTGCTAACAATTACATTAGGTGGCTAAAACTTCCCACCTGGGAGCAAGTTACCCTGAATTTCATTTAAACACCCACCTGTTCAGCCTCATTTCAGTATAAAACCCATTAGATAGATAGATGAAACTGGGCCCGTGTATAAGAAACATATCCATTTTAATATTTACATGGAAATCATGGAAATGCAATAGTAAAAAAAAACTCAAACAATACAAAAAACTATATTTTCTGAAGCACAGAATGAGATGATAAATGAAGATTTAAAAGCCTGTATTTACAACACAATAGAGAGTGTGTTTGCCACATCTGAATGGCCCGGAGAGGATCCACAATATCTTTGAACTTGTCCCTTCTGAGAACCCAATCCGGTGCAAATCTGAAAAACAAACAGGATGTCAGTTACCACTGCAAAACACATGAAATCTGTGAATCTCAGACAAATACTTTACTGTACATAGACACATTAAAAACGTACTTTGGCACAGGGCGGGATTTACGAGGCGTCGTTTGAAAGAAAAAGCTCCCGTTGATTGATGCGTTCATTTTCTGTTTCGTAACAGTTCTTTCAGCGTCCATCTTGTGTTTGCGAGCGGTGAGGCGGTAGATACTGCGTAGCCTATCCAACACTTTGGGTAGCTTCATAACCTCCTATAAATAAGAGAGTTCACATTTATTACAAAACTACAATAGCAGTTTCTGTCAGATTAGAATTTGGTTGTGTGAATTCTATAATAACATATTTCAACAGTATTTATGTCAGAGGAGCTACGGACCACAACGCGGTACTTGTCTTGCAGGAGGAGAGCAAGAAGGAAGCAGGCCTTTGTGAAGATGCTGCCGCCCTTTCTTCTGCCACTTTATCTCCAGCTTTCTCACGGTATCTCTGCAGCAGGTCCAGCAGAGTCTCGACAGAGTTTTCCACCGAATACACTGCCTCAATGGTCTTGTGGTACTATGGAAGGAATACCACGAAAGAGTGGG